GGCAGGGGGCGGAGCCAGAGAGCCTCCTGCTTGATTGGATTAATTAAATCCAAAAAACAACAACAAGAAAAAAAAAACAGGAAAAAAAGAAAGAAAGCAATGATGACAAATCACATTTCAGCCAACAGCAATTACATCAGTTTTGTTTTCTTGTTGGCACAGGACTACACCAGGGGAGCACGAAATAACCGTAAAAGTTAATGGTCTGCGTAGGCTATTAGTTCATTATGTCCTTTACTACGGGTCCAATTAGGAAAGGAGTAAGTTGTAATCCATGAAAACCATGAAGTCTCTTATCTTGGAGGAACCTCTTGCATATACTCGATACACAGCTTCAGGAGGACTTTCTAAATGTTTTCAATGTTATTGTGTAGTTGATAGCACTATTATGAAAAAGCTACTTGTCATTCCATAGGAGTCTTCTGAGGACTGCTTTGTGTATCACTGTGACTGCCGTGTGTGCTTAGAGATGTAGACTTATCAGTAGGTAGCGAATCCAGTCTGTTCTGTAGTGATGTCGTAGCGTTTAATGCCATTTTTTCCTTCTACACGCAAAGAGAGGACGAGAGAGAGAGAGAGAGAGCGTGACTGCACGCAGCCAAAAAAAAAGAAAAAAAAAAAGAGGAGGCTTTTATCCGAGCGCGAGCGGGTTGCTTCACACAGCATTTTGTTGAGCACTGTGCAATACTTGTATGTTCATCCCATAGTGTTAACGTGGGTGGCGTTGCCCGAGAGAAGAGATTATAACCCTTCGAGGATGAATCCAGTCCAGAGACATGTTTTCTCCTTTCCAGTGAAATGGTTAGGACACAGCACACTTAGATTCAGCTTATAGTTTGGAGCTTGACACCTGCTGACCTCTGTTTAGGGTTCCCTCCCTTTTCCGCAGGTTCATTTTCTCTTCTTGCACACAGTTCCAGCATCAGAAGTTTCAGGGAGTCTTCGTTAAATACCAAACAAGATTCTGCATTTAGATACCCCCTTTAAAAATGCCATGTATATATTTACATAATCGTGTCAAAGAAAATGTATATCTAGAATAAATATAAAGTGACCTGAATGATTATTCAGCTGCAAAATATCGCTCTTTTATCCAGATGCTATATCTCATCATCGTTAATCCATTTTCATTAGTTATTTTATTTATGTATTTTTATTTATTTATTTATCTCCCCTGTTGATTCAAAACCCCTTTTCTATTTGAGATGAAAACTCTGAATGTACAGTGAGGACCGTGTTGGTGTCGATTACTTTAATTAATTAGATGTACCTTGCACTTTTTGTTGTTTAAAAGAACATATTTTTAATATTTTTTCAGCTATTATGGATTCATTTCATAATCCTATGGGGTAAAAACAATCAAACAACCTCCCCTGTGATAGCATTCCAATATCACTGAGCATACTTTAATACAGCTGTATTCCCAATCCCTCTTCAGCTGGGGGAACTTTTATTTGACATGTTTTCCATATATAGATCCATGAATTCCAGTACAGCTTCAGATTTAAATAACAGAAAAATATATTTAAGTAAAAGGTGCACTCTTTGCAAAAATGGCCCAAGCAATTTGACATGAATGCTAATGCAGAGAGGTTGCACTAAAGGAATTATCCAATCAAAGCTGAGAGTAAATCAAACCGAATTATATGAAAATATCACAAGTGCACGAACGTATCAGGGAATTCAGTAAATGGGCAGCATTGCAAAACCCATCGGATTGTGAGGCGTGTGGAGGAAACTACAAAGCAAAAGCCATTACCTGCGCTGCAGCGCAATGCTCCTGTTACTGCGATTCCCCACCAAAAAAAAGTGCGCACGCGTAATCACCCCCCACACCCTAAATTCAAGCTCTCTTCTGTGTGACAAGGAACTGAAGAATCTCTCCAGTGACACCGACAAAAAGCCACACTGACCTTTCAAAAACAAAGCTGTGTAAAGTATTAGAATCTGATGCTGTAGAAAGATCCTAGTTGCCTTTGTGTATATCAACTGCCTGCTTGAGTATTTTGTGTGTGGAAATTTTCTCTGTAATCTTGTAGAACTGTTCGGGGTGTTTTTTCCTGCCATATCGCTCGCAGTGACGGCGAGCCTGCTGACGGTTATATTTGCTGTGTATACCTTCATTTTTTGATGAGGTGTTTTCCAGTTTTGTTTCACTTTGTGTAGTGATTCACTCTGTGGAGTTTTCTGACTGTTGTTATATAACTTCATATACACAAATGATCAATAAAAATGTTTTATTTCCTGTTGATACAGAAGCCTTTCATGTCGTGTTTTCGTTCGGGATGCAAAACTGTCACGACACCGTTGGTATTGATTGCCACGAGTGTGACTCACTGCTCATGCAAGAAACTGTTCACTTCAGAAAGAAAGGCGTCTGCATGCTTGACGTGCATGACAAATTCCTATTTTAATGATGGCACTTTGAATCAGACACAGCAGCCTGTTAAAAAGGTCACTACTGCCATCTGAAGGACACGCAGGGGAACCCCACTGTGTACCAGCACAGATGTAAAAAAACTAATAAGAAAAGATTCTTTCTTTCTTTCTTTCTTTCTTTCTTTCTTTCTTTCTTTCTTTCATTTTGCCTCGGGTACAGATCAATTTCTATTAGTGAATATTTACTTATGTGCAGCAGAGCCACATAATGGGGACAAGAGTTTGTCCTCCACTAAAATATGATGTCACATTGATGTGATGCTCGGATGGTAATGAATGCTGGGGAGCGGAGATTTATAGATGTCAGGCTACTGCTGCTGCTGTAAAATAAAGCTCATTTGGATGTTGAGAGTAAAACATGTCCCATGAAATTTTTACTGTAGCACGGTGCTGTCATTTTAAATTGAATTCTTTTAACCTGCCTTTTAAATCACTGAAATATGTGCTTATACTGCATCATCTGGCAGATTATTGCAGCTTTTTATTGAAACCGTGTCACACTGAGTGAAATAGTCAAGCCCAAACACTCACTAGTGTTGGGGTTGTATTATTCGATTAAATATATTATTACCTTTAATTTTCCTCCCTGTGTGGAAAAGCAATTGCTCCCTAACCCTAAAAACTAGTTGCACCATCCTTGGCAGAAAGAACTGCAATCAAGTGTTTGTGATAACTGGCAATGAGTCTTTCAGATCACTGAGGAGGAATTTTGGTCCACTCTTCTCTGCAGAATTGTTTTAATTCAATCACGAATGGTTTTCCAGCCTCTGAGACATTCAGAGGTCGACTTGCTGGTGTTTTTCAAATTGTTGTCCTGCTGCATAACCAAAGTGTGTTTCAACTTGAGGACACAAACTGATGGTCGGAAATTCTCCTTCAGGATTTTCTGGTAGAGATCAAAATAATGGTTTCATCAATTACAGCATCGAAGCAGCCCCAGACCATCACACTACCACCGCCATATCTGACTGTTGCTGTGATGTTCTTCTGTGTTAGTTTTAGAGCAGATGTAACAGGACTCAGACCTTTCAAAAAGTTCCGTTTTCTCATCAGTCCACAGAATATTTTTCCAAAAGTCTCCCAGATCATCAAGATGTTTTTTTTTTTGTGGCAACTATGAGATGAGCCTTTATGTACCTTTTGATCAGCAGTGGTTTTTGTCTTGGAACTCTCCCATGGATGCCATTTTTTTCTGTTTTATTGTTGAATCATGGACTCCGACCTTAACTGAGACAAGTGAGACCTGCAGTTCTGTAATGTTGTTCTGGGGTCTTTTGTGAGCTCTTGGAGTAATTTGGGGAAGGTTCACCACTGTTCTGAGTTTTGCTTTTTGTCTATAACAGCTCTCACCGTGGTTCACTGGAGTCCCAAAACCATAGAAATGTCTTTGTTTCTCAACTGTTTTTAGATTGTGACAGGATGTGTTTTGGTGTCATGTAGTCTGTTTCACTTTTTCACACAGGTTTTATTTAAAATATTTGTTGATTCAACAGGTCTGGCAGTAATCAGGCCTGAGTGTGGCTAGTAAAATTAAATTCAGTTTTCCAAAAGCTGTGGATAATCACAGTCTCTTCATGATTCAACAAGAGGGGCAATTACTTTTTCACACAGGGCCAGGTAGGTTTAGAAGCTTTGTTTCCCTCAATAAATGAAATCAAAAATTACATTTTGTATTCCCTCTGGGTATCTTTCTCTAACATAAAAAAATTGGTTAATGATTTCAAACATATAAGAATTACAAATATGCAAAAAAAAAAGGGGGGGGGTAATAGAAAATTCCTTTTTCACTGCACTGTAAAGCTTGTTATGCTTGTAAATAATGCTTAAGCGTAACATTATTCATGTTCATGGCTCTACTTAAAATCAGTTAGTTAAAATCATCATCAATCATCATCATATCTGCAATTTTACTGCATCATATAGAAATTTCTTAATCCATCCTAATATTGGCTGATTTTTGTGTGCCTGAAGTGGGGCAACACATGGAAAGATTAGTGTTTGTAGGATGCATGTTTGACCTCAAAGCAGCAGCTCACTATAAGATTAAGTCAAGTGTGACGGCTACAGAAGGAAATAAACAGATGCACAATACAGATAAGCACCCGATATAACTGTATTACATGAAACGTGAGCAACAGAAAAAGAGGAAATGAGATCTACATAGCAGAGTTACGAAAGTTTTGTATTCTGCTTTCGGGTTTTTTTTTTTTTAAATTTAGTTATGTTTAACCAGTATCACTAAGTTTGGGTTAATATCCATTTTGCATACATAAACTAGGATAATAATAAAGTCGTCATTTGTGTTTCTGTGTTTAACTAATCAATTTAGTTAAACTCATTTTGCTGCCGTATGACCAAAAGCCACACTTTTAAATTCTGATTAGTCTCCTTCGGATGCTATTATCTTGTTTTGTGTTTTGTTTTGTTCTCTTCTAGCTTCTCCTTTTGCTTAGAAAAATTGTGCGCAGTTTAATGCTTTATCATTATTATCGTTTCAGCGTTTTATTGTGAAAATACATGTCTTTTACGTGGAAGTGACGTTTGAGGTTCGGCTTTGATAAGTTAGTGAACGTTAGCCCGTTGTATTACCGGAAGCTGCGTGTTTACATGCTTACTGTACGTTTATTCAGTCCAAATCTCGACGAAATTGACATAAAACAGCTTCAAATACACATAGAAGTGCACCAAAATATTTATATCCACCATTCATTTTATAATTAGCCTACTGAGTTTAATTTTCATATAAACGGAATTTTGTTTTTGAAAACTAAAACCGGATGTATTTATCCTTCCTGGCTGACTCGACAGCCTTACTTGACAGCTTGGACCTCCGTCACAATTAGTTGCCTTGAACTCGTTTGGGGTGTGCGCGCTATACTGACAAAGTATTTTGCATTTGTCCTCCCGGCCTGAAAATGCTCTCTTACATCATCGGCGTGAGTATACATCAATGGAAAATTATCAGGGTGCTTTTACGCCAGCTAATTTGCATGCATTAGCTCGGCTAATATTCGCTAACATTCAGTTTTTCCCCAGCTAAGTTATCCTGAGCGCTGTTTCGGGCCTGCCCACAGGAATCTTCATGACTCACTTCTCCCTGTTGCTGTCTGTGTTAAACAAAAAAACAAAAACCCGACTTAATCCAGGCAACGCCCCGCAGGGTACTCAGACAGCTGGTAGCTAATGCTAGGAGTTGGTGGTCTGAGTCATTCTCCCACTTTTGACCTTTTATCGCAGTTGATCCGAGGTGGCTTTGACAGTATCATCAACCTCATCTTCAGGCTGCTCTTCCAAAAGAAGAGACCTGCCATCACCTTAGAGGACCCCAACATTAAGTATGCACTGCGCCTGATAGATAAAGAGGTAACCGCTCAAACGCTGCACACTTGAGTGCTTGCAGAATGAAACTTGTCTGCAAACGCAGCAGATGCGTTCACGCTCACTGCTCTGTCTGTTTCTTGTTTTGTTTTTTTTTAAAGATTGTCAGCCATGACACAAGAAAGTTCCGCTTTGCACTGCCATCCCCTGAACACGTCCTTGGTCTCCCTATTGGTAAGTGCGCACTCACGCATATATCATCACTGCCGGAGGTTTGACTGCATATCTCAAAATCTGTTCTAGCTCCTTTCCTTCTCTGTTTAAGCTAGTTTTCTTCTGATTGGCCACCCCTTGTAAACAGACGGTTTAAACAGCTGATGTAGTGCCTATTTGGAGATAGGGAATGGCAATGCATTCTGCGTAGTTCATGCCAAACCGAAACGAAGTTAGATGCCAGCAGGTGATAAGGAGGAAGACACCTAAACCACCTGTGATACAAACTGAATGTAAACGAAAAGGCAAAGCAGTGTTATTAGGAGGGGCTGATATGTGAGCACAAACTGTCACTTTATTTTTAGGAGGTACAGTTTCTCAAGTTGCCTAGTGTTTTGTTAAAAAAGCTGTTTGTGGTGAGCGCCTAAACCTCAGACAACTTAAGAATTGTGCATGGCTTCAAGCTCACATTCAGACTTGTTAGACTCGGCCATGCTCTCTCAGCTGCTGAGCCATGGCTCTGTGACACATGCATCACTTACCCTTAACCTCCTTAATCTGGCATCCAATTATGTGGACATCACATTTTGGGTTGTCTAGACCAAAATACTAAATTTTCCTCTACAAGGGCCTGATTTCCACTTACGAGGACATTATACTGCCTCTGTTGTATCAAAATTTAAAACGAATGTCTTTATACGTGGCTCTCAATTTTCTTAGAAACAAAAATAGGGTAAAAAAAACGTTTTAAAAATCCGGTGATTCTTTGTTTTTACATTCATCGGGTCCCAATATTCCCAAATATCAAAGCGAAACTAGGAATGCATGCCATGGAAGAGTTCAGGTCTTAGGAGGTTAAAGACACTCTATACAATTGATTTGAGTTCACATTTAATACTTTTCTGTAATATTTTCTCTTTTTCAACGTTGTGTTGAACACATTTATAAAGCATACCTTTTTATTTGACATTTATAATTGCGCTGTAATAACAACCCTGCATGCTTTGTTTTGTAGCTGGACTAAACTGTGATGAGAATGTTAAAAATAAGTCGTTCAGATGTGAAGCAGTTTCATGTCTTTTATTACTGCTCAATGTTATATTACAGCACTTCATGTTATAGTGCTGCAGCAGGTGCAGGAGCTTGTAGTGCCTTTGTTCTGCATCGATGTCGGTCAGAGGTATCCACGGTGACTACTGTGTGTCTGAGGTGTTACGCTGTTGCTGCTTCCATATATTTCATCATCAACTTGGAGTTGCATGAACCTCAGTCCCATAATGGGGCGATCGTGGCTCAGGAGTTGGCAGTTCGTCTTGTAATCAGAAGGTTGCCGGTTTGAGCCCTGGCTCCGACAGTCTCGGTCATTGTGTCCTTGAGCAAGATACTTCACCCGTTGCCTACTGGTGGTCAGAGGGCCTTTGTCCGGCAGCCTCGCCTCTGTCAGTGCGCCCCAGGGCAGCTGTGGCTAAAATGTGGCTTGCAAGTGTGTGTGAATGGGTGAATGACTGATAACTTAGCTCAAAGAGTTGGCAGTTCGTCTCGTAACCAGAAGGTTGCCGGTTCGAGCCCCGGCTTGGACAGTCTCGGTAGTTGTGTCCTTGGGCAAGACACTTCACCTACTGCCTACTGGTGATGGCCAGATGGCAGCCTCGCTTCTGTCTGTCAGTCTGTGGCTACAACTGTAGCTGCCTCCACCAGTGTGTGAATGTGAGAGTGAATGAATAGTGGAATTGTACAGCCCCGAAAAGCGCTATATAAATGCAATCCATTATTATTATTATTGAGTGTGTGTAAAGTGCTTTGGGGTCCTTAGGGACTAGTAAAGCGCTATACAAATACAGGCCATTTACCATAATGCATTGCATTGGTGACGTCACAATCCTGAGGTCTATTAAAGATATCCCCTCTCACAGTTACAGAGCCTTTAAAGCAGGAAATACTTGCTGTAATGGTGAATTATCATTGTTTGAGTCACATAGAATGAAATGGGTGACGTTGATGGTAAGTACGTGTTTGTTTTCGTCTTCAGGGCAGCACATCTATCTCTCGGCAAAGATAGACGGGAAGCTTGTCGTCCGTCCGTACACACCAGTGTCCAGCGATGACGACAAAGGTTTTGTGGACCTGGTGGTGAAGGTAAAGATTTAAGGAAGGTTGTTTTCATGTGCATTTTAGTTTTTATATATGAAGGTGTTGATTGTTTCACATGAATTCCTCCATTTGTTTCAGATTTACTTTAAAGACATTAATCCAAAATTCCCAGAGGGCGGGAAGATGAGTCAGTACTTGGAGAGCCTCAGGATCAACGACACAATTGACTTCAGAGGACCCAGCGGCTTACTCGTTTACAAGGGCAAAGGTGAGCAGCATAACTGAACACAGTAGGTGAATCAGCTTTATCAGCTTGGTTTAATACTCTCACTTTGCATCTGCAGGTGTTTTTGCCATTCAGCCTGATAAAAAGTCCCCAGCTGAGATGAAGACTGCCAAGCATTTGGGCATGATCGCTGGAGGCACAGGTGAGGGAGCTGTTCAGTGTCAGGACCGAGGGTGGTTTTTTTCATTTGTTTGACTCAGGTGGTGTTTGTTTGTTTTTAGGGCTGATGCTGCTTATTAGTAATAAAGGTGTTTATCATTAGTTGAAGCTGGAGTCTTGATGTCTAAATTTTGACAAAACTCCAACACAAATCATTCAACAAAGTGTTATTTGGACATGTGGACAGTTTCTGTAGATATTATAAGTTGAGTAGGTGTTACTCATGCAACCAGATACTATAGAGTGGTCAGAGCATTGACCACCACAGAGAGAGCGAGGCAGCTGCATTGGAGCCACAGTAATGAAATAATAACTGTTAAGGTAATTGGGGGAGTATGAATGTCAGATCTGATAAGTGTTTGAGCCAAAGTTTCCACTGCATCAGTGAAGTCATAACCCGATGTTGGGTAAAGTGGTCTGGCTCACTGCTCACCTCAGTGCCAACAGTGCTCGGCTGAAAAAACGGCGTTTGTATGGATTGAATTTGGTGCCACAGAAATCTCTAAGATATTAATTTAGCGTTCTTTGGTCTGCTCCCTTACTGCCACTTCAGACAGTTCCACATATTTAGTTATTGTTTTATTTTTCCGCCTATTTTTTTTTTTTATGCAACCCAGAATAGATTTGTCTTCTGCTAGTCTCCAACCAGACACATGTTAGACTAATGTGCAAACACTGACCTGGGAGATGCTGACATGTAATGTAGCATTAAAGGTTATAAAAGCCATTTTTGCAACCTTTTCTAAATACGATGACATTTTTTCCCCTTCCTCTGTGCTCTATTTGTTCCAGAGTTTATTTGGGCTGTTTGCTCATCATCCACACAGGCGTTACACACTGTAGGGTCTTTACTTTAAAGTATGAAGTGCCTTTTAAGTATCTTTTGTTCTTTAAGTTGATAAAAACGCCTGAATTGAATTGCGTTGGAGAGGTTTAGGTTTGGTAAATTTGTATAAATTCTAACTAAAGTTATGCTTTTAGAAACATTTCATTTAATCGAACTTGGAGGTCCGACTGTGACCAAAGCACACATACAGCCCTGTATTTAAAGGAGCTCTGTTAATGTAACCTGAGCCTGTGCTGGGTGTTATTACAGGCATCACTCCCATGCTGCAGCTCGTCACAGCAATAATGAAAGATCCTGATGACAAAACGGTGTGTCACCTGCTGTTTGCCAACCAGGTGAGTTTTATGAACCACAATCTAATGTTTGCAGTCAGGAGGATATTTACTACGTGATAACATTTGACCTGGACTGGAGTGTAAATTTGTGTTCACGTAGTAGTTTAAAAATATCGTCTCTTCCCGTGTTCAGACTGAGAAAGACATCCTTCTGCGACCGGAGCTGGAAGATATTCAGGTCAGCCACCCGGACCGGTTCAAGCTGTGGTTCACCGTCGACAGAGCACCTGAAAGTGAGTCCTCCAACAGTAACCACCTTCACATGTGAACTTTAACTATTTCAGACAGGAACTATTTCCAGTTTTTGTACACATCTTCTCATTACCCCGGTTTATTAGCTGCAGTAATCGCCCACTAGCACAGTCCATGATATTACATGGATGTTTGTATTTGTATTGGCAGGTTGAAGACAGACTGTTTACCTGACAGGTGTAAGAAAGAATGTAATCTTAGAAAGTTAATTGCATATGAAAATGACTATTATGTCTTGTAATGTGAGAGCATCTATGAAGTATTAGTACTCTTGCACGTTCTCAAAATGTGACGCAGCAGGCTAAAGTCAAATTTTAAACTTTTTATGTACTTTGTATGCATCCTACATTTCAAAACTTCTACATTAATGTGCAAAAACAGGTTGAATTTTTCTGTGTTCTTTGAATTTTTGCGGTCTAGCTTTTAACTTCTGATATAAAAACTCAATCGATCACAGTTCATACACAGTTATCACCGCAGGCTAAATACGGAAAAAGGTCACCAGCATCACTGAGGGCAAATTTCAATGGGTGAGTGGCCACAACGAGGCCGAGAGGTTTGCTGGTTCATTTGTGGTTATGCATGAGAAATTGTTCAATGTTCTTTGGTCGCAGTGAAGGATCACCTATTTGTTGTCACCAGGAAATTGTATATCATTGCTGGATAAGAATCATTTTTAGTTAACAACAACAAAAAAATGTCCAGTACGTGGTTTTAATGTGAGAAATGATCAAGCTAGTAGTTTTGTTCAGCAGAGTCAAACATCAGAACTGAAAACAAGCAAGCAAGCATGCTACCTGTGAATGTGTTAACCACTAATCTATAGATTGAAACATGATTATACAAATATTGATTCGTTTTATAATCAGTGATGTTATTAATTGAATTTTCTGGGTTAAGGAAAATCTCAGGCTTACAGGCAGGTTTTTAAAATCGTGGATAATTTTTGCTGATTTTGCACCAAAAAGATTACATTTTTAATATCCTGGTAAAATATAGGTTCATTTTTTGATAATGGTTCAAAATACATGCAGAGAGAGAGAGAGAGAGAGAATCATGGGAAACTCCCCAGCAGCCTAAGGCTACAGCAGCGTAACTAAGGGAAGGTTACGGGTCACCTGATCCAGCTGTAACTATAAGCTTGATCGAAGTTTTAAGACTAATCTTAAAAGTAGTGTGTGAACTTTTAGAAACTTTAAGAGTTTTAGAAACTGTAAGCCTGCAGTCTGAGAGCAGCTCTGTTAGGATTAATAAGGTTCTATCAGGCTTCAGGACCTTGTATGTGAGGAGAAGGATTTTAAATCTTATATTAAACAGGGAGCTGTCCTTCTACTCCCAGCTAGTACTCACTGCATCCAGCTTTTCATCTTTAAAAAAAAAACCCTGATAATAATGAATTACAATAGTCCAGCCTTTTTTTTTTTTCCTTAATTACTCTGAGACGATGTTTTTAATTGTAGTAATATTGCACATATGAATTAAGGCAGTCCCTTATATATGTTTAATGTGCATGCTGAAGGACCTAACCTGATCAAAAATGACTTAAACTCCTCATGGTGTTACTGGAGGCCAGCGTAA